CGCTTTGCGAATGATAGAAAGTTCTTCGAGTTTATAGAGCAATATGGTTTTCGTATTGAACCGTAAAGCTAATTTAAACTGGAAACAAATATGGTCTTATTAAAGGTAAATTACTGAGTAATTTGCCGAGTTGTAACGATCTGATGAGGAACAATAATTGAGAAAAAAATGATAAAAATACTTAATTTATTACTTCGACGTAATAAGGACAGTAATTAAAATGACATAATAAGGCGCCATCCAACCGTAACATGGTTTAACGCAACTTAATGTTTCTTTCGTAGCTTTTGGACTCCTGGGCCACTTTCAATATGGTATTTTATCACGTCTACAGGAACTTTCGCTTTTAGTACAACCGTCCATGCGGAATGGGCGGCCTTAATTAGTAACTTATTATAATCACGTGCGTAGGAGCTGCTGCATTTCGAAATAACTTCCTACAAAGCATAATTTTTAACCAATTTGCAATAGGGTATGCGTTAAATATGGCGATTATTTGTATTCAGATGAATACGGTTGGATTTTGCATGAATTGATGATGAGATGAAAATTATATTGAATATGTTCTTTGTGGTTTCTGCGTGTGCTGATTCATTAAACATCCGATCATTCACCCTAAGGTGTCGCTTACCCTTTTGGACAATAAGTGAATACGTCAAATATCTTTCTCTTCCTGTGCCTGGGATGGACTTGGTATAAATCCGCCTCCACAGGCTCTCGACCTACGGAGCAGCTCCTCGGCCTTGCCATCTACGGGTACTGCATCACGTAACAAGACATTGCATGGGTCGTGAGATATACTGCATTTTGAATTATTGGCTCGTAATTTGCTTGTTTGTCTGAGTCTCCGGCTTGAGTGCAGCCTGCCCAGTTGGAGAGTTCATTCGCATCTTTCCAATAAGGCGATTCGAGAAAGAAATTCAAAGGCTACATTGTGAAATGGAATGCTGCACCTTAATGCAAACTGTATGGGGTTAAATTGCTTGGATGTGAAATGTTTGGCTGTGCCAATCTGGATTTTTTTATATCACAGTTATATCACAAATGAACATTTAACTTCGCCCAGTCATTTTGCCCCGTTTTTTAATCAGTTAATCGCTGCTCCCTGGTGTAAGAAATCTGATAAAAGCCTTTTTTATTGGCGCCTCCGCCAACTAGGCAAATAATTCAATTTGCCTGGATGGCTTCAGTAATGCCGACGTGCACTAAATAGCATAGATAATCCAGACCTAAACGCATGATTGCCCTTCAGTATAATCCGTGCCTTTCGTCGATAATGTCTTATCGGAGTTTTCATATTAGTTCCTTCCGTAATTGACGGACATGTCTATTGGTCTAAATCTGGATATGCTTCGAATTGGGAATTTATTTAAGTAGCAGTATGGGGCAGAAAAATTTGATGTGTTTTCAAAACATTTGGTAAGACTTTCTGCAACAAGTGTCGATTTTAATCAAGTAGCAAATCAGTTTGTTTTATCCTAGTCGAGTTCAACTCCTAAAACGTGATCCAAGCGCACGTGTGCCTGTTGTAATTGAATGTCGATTAATAACAATTACCGTAAATCATATTAGTTCTGATTCAAACACGGCCACTTTTTGTTAACGTATTTATTGTGGCAAAGAAAGCAATCAATTTTAATGTTAAATTACATGAACTGAACATTGATTATTTTCAATTTCTTTACTTGTAAGACTTGTGTATGAGGTGATTTTCTAGCCCATCAACTGATTGATGAAATGAAAGGAACATGAAGAATGTTGGGATGCTTCAAAAGATTCCACGTCCCCGCCATTGGGATCTGCAATATTTGATAAACTTTGAATGTTGAAAAAAACCTATAAAAAACGATTTCATGTATTTTGTGATAAAAAAACTTTATTGAGCTCTTATTGGCAAAACTGGCAATTGTAAGAATTGACATTTTGCTTCGGCTACTCAAAATACAAATAACAGTAACATAGACACTGGTTTGAAAATATTTCTTTTCTGTCTCTTAAAATGGCGTAATTTTTTATAAGACAAAGTTTGCAAAGGATCTAAGAAATTATCTGATTGTTTTAGGCCAGATGGAATAACTTACCAATTTTTATGGGACAGTTGCAATTCCAACTTCAATGTATATGTGTTGGAAGTTCTAACTACGAGTATATTTCTTCAACTACATGAAAACGTTTTCTTCTCCATCCAGTTTTAAAAATTATTTTTACAACGAACTCATACAGATTGGCTGAAATTTATCTTAAACTGAATTTTTTGAATATTTGTTATTGCTACCCTGTTTTTAAGCTCTATTTATTTGCCAACAAAGGCGTATCTGGATGAATCATTTCTGCTCTTACTTTAAACAAATACTTGTATAAAAGGGATTCTTCAACGAGAAAATCTTTCGGGAATTATCGCAATTTAATGAGAAATACTTTACAGAAAGAAAGAGAATTACAGCCAAATGGCATGGAACACTTTAAAATATTTCGTCTTATGCAAGGTGAAATTTCTGCAGCAAACAAACACTAAATTTTTAAGAAAAAATCACTTTTCTTGTACCCTCACAGTGAGCTCTAAAGTTTCTTTTGTGGCAATTGTCTGTACAACAAAGCAGGATCGACAGCGTCTGGTGATTAATTCAAAACAATAACAGTACACTCCTTTTGATCATTGTGCGAATAAAAACAAACATTCCACACTTCACATCACGTTATCTTAAATGGGCGACACCTTGTTTATGCCATCGTTCACGTTTCTTGGACAGACAATGCGAAGACACGTGCCTGTGGAAGTCGTGAGTCCCAACCAATCGATTCTTTGGAGAAATATGGACATCCGGCATATCTGTGTGTTCTAGATGCTTTATTAATCGGCCATTGTTAAGGGGACGTTCCTACATAATTAAAATGCGTTAAGCGTATCATTATTATAAATATTTAATTTCTGTTTTTATTAAGTCGGTTATGCGCACTAATTCGGGTGTATGATACATTATTGCTTGTTAAATGAAATAATTATCTAAGAGTTAATGAAAGTTTGCCAGTTCAATTACAGTTTTTAAGACTTTATTTTAAATCGACGTATTTTTTCGACATTAAAAAAAACTAATAATAATAATTTAGCAAGGTTCAACCGCGAGCTTAGTCTATACCGATAATTTCCAGTAGACGGTGGCTCAAGACAGAATCGCGTTTATGCCAGTGTGTCCTTCCTTTGTTATCTTGCTCGCCCTGAAAGATTGTTTTCGATGGTTAATTTCAGCAGCAGCAGCCGGGTTTCAGTCGTTCTTCGGCGTGCTTTCAAGCTGCACTTGCGAATGTGCTGCAGTTTCGTGCAACTTGTAGTCCTGCGGTACTACCCTGATCAATGTGCATCGTGTGACAAGGGGTTAGTGATATCGGGGTGATAAGTCGCTGCTTATAATTAAATAGATCTGGGACTTTCATCTGGACGTTGTCCTCCTCTGTTTCGAATAATCTTATTGGATTGCTTTGATGAGCACTGGAGCATTTAAACAAATGCAAATTTATATTTGAAGGCGGTATGTGAAAGTATCCGCATTTGAGGGTATTTCAGGTTTTGTTAGGGACCACAATGGGTTTAGATTATGGATATTTTGGGGGTTTGTTTGCCTCCGATCTGCAACGTCAGAACATAAAATTCCTTATTTCAATGTGGTTGGGTTCAAGATGAGGTACCAGCTGCAGCTTCAATTAGTTCAAGTTGGGTTTTGTGAGATGTGTAGTGTGAATTGAGTCTGAGCAACAATATTATTGGACACAGTGAATGGCCAATAATGCACAATTTTACCAAAATATGGATTCAAAACCAACAAAAATCAAGCTAGAGTAGGAACATGAAGCTCCCTTTCGATTCAAAAAACGATTGCTTAGTTTAACTAAAAGATTTATTGTCACTATTTTTAGATCAAACTCTTACTTGGGTAATTAAAAATCAGTATCCATTGATCATTGAAGTGGAGCTTTCCGGATCTATTTGCTTTCAAAGTTTATTAGAATCAATGATTCTGGTTTTGTTCTATCTACTGGTAAATCTGCAGTTGCTTAGGTTGAGGTGGGCTGAAAGCATTATTAATTATCCGTTTGATATATTTAGCAAGCCTTCGTATGACAGAAAATACATTATTCCGTATTATCCATCTGGTTTGAATATTTTTATTAAGTGGCGGAACAAGCAGAATTAATTTTAAGAAATAACAAAGCACAAAACCCCTTATTCATGCTTACACCTGCTTATTGTATTTATGGCTCATCCCTTGTGTATAATTGTATCGCCAAAATGTTAGTTTTGTCATTTTTTCACATTTTTTATTTCTGTAGTTCCTTTTATGGGATTGGTGATTGTTTCTCAAAATAATAGGCACATTCTCGATAAAAATGTAATGTACTTTTAAAGAATCGTCGTTTGTTGAGCGTCTCAGCATAACTTAGAATGTTTTACTTGTCGTCGTTGTAAATTTCAATAAATCAACTCGTTAAAATTAAAAAATCCCACAAATTTGCAGTTATCTAAATAGGACATTCCAACATTTTTTAATTTTAAGTATTATTTTTATACATTGTGGCTCATCAAAAGTATCCAGAAAGTTGATGGTCTTGTTTTTAAATAAACAAAAACACTGGAATCACAAATTTTTTGTTTGTGAGCTCATATTTCTCATTTTGGATACTCTGACTTCAATCTCTTAGCGGCTGTGCTTTCATTGCTTATTTTTCAAATTGGAGTTTTTTAACGCAGGTCAAACGCAAGTTTAACGCAGTTTTCTGTAATCGCCGAAAATATTTTCTATTTGCCCATATGTTGTAGAAAAACATGTTATTTAAAATACTAATTGAAAAGTCATTTAACCGTAACAAAGTTTTGTGCCAGTTTGTACTACTGAATATCTCTTACCCTGCAGTGAACATTTCAAATCATTTTGTGACTTAAGAAAAACAATTTTTTGCCATTCAAACATAAGTCCACACAAAACTAAATATTTCAAAATTAATTTTATATTTTAACAACGCTCAAAATAAAACGTGGAAAAACAATTTATTTCTGACGGTTTCGTGCTTGCAGAGACTCCTAAAAATCGTACCAATTTCAAGCGATGGCCGCGAAAGCCTAATTATTTTGAGATAAATCTAGGTGTTTGGAAAAATTAGTGGTGAAGCCACCGGTTAAGAACGGTTGAAGATACCACGAAAAAAATCGAACAAATTGGTTTTTAAATAGAAAACTACAAAGCCTTTCGAATACTTTTTGATGGTCCTCACTGTATGTAAACAGATGGTATCCGTTATGAATAATTTTATGCGAATCAAAGCTTCTTTAAAGAACCCACTTCAAAGAAGGTAATTAAGTCTTTGCATGAGGAAAAGATAATTTTTACGATTTAACATACATGTATTATGATACCTGAAATTATGAAGAATTCCGTGTAGAAACTGAAAACGAACTTTAAAACAAGAAAATGTGGCCACTTCCGGAAGCCGCTCAGTCAGAACATTTTCTGCTCTAGATTTTCAAGTTTCACCTTCACAGTTCACAAATATTTTTTGAATAGTTTTTGTATCGGCAAATAAAAATTGGAACCATTCACTCGCATTATAACGGAAAATAGTTGTTCATCATTCGACAACCCTCAAGTCGTCCATACATGGATTCTGATACGGACGCATTGCTTCGAAAAACATGTCAACATGCCATGCAGAACCTTCGTATATCTCATTCAGGGCAAGGCCGCTTCTTTGAAGATCATTGAATTCATTGCAGCATGTAATAATAGGGTGGGAAGATTTTGAAATGCGTCGAATTCTTCGGCAATCTACGACAATCTTTGAGATGTTTCTCACAGGTGGATGGCAGGAGGTAATTACTTCTAATTACTTTTCAGAAAAGCCATTGAAAGAAAAATTCCTTGGCAAAAATGTTTCTGTTGATCAGGTTGAATAGCTGGTTAGAAGAATTCGACGAAAGTTCAAGTAAACGTATACAAAGGAAGTATGAACTGGCGCGAGTGAATCATTAGGCGTTTCAGTTAAGAAGCTGCTGCGTGTATTTTTACCTTGTATAATCAGTAATAAAACAATTTATAACCGCAAAATGTAAGATAAAGGTCACGCTAGAAAAAATCGGCTAATGCTGCTCAATGTTTTTCACAGACTGTCGCTTGACATAGCCTCATAATTTTACCAGAACAAGCTGCGGTTGTTACCATATCTGGGGAATTGTCGATCGGTTTCGATGCACTTGAACTCATTGCTAATTTCTGACACTGAAATGATGAAAAAAAAGGAGATTTGGAGTCGGAGTTATTTTTCTTTAGGCATGTAATTTGGCTTACGTCCCAAATGAAACCAGGTTCTAGTCTCTACTTTCTTATTTCCGTTGGATGATTGAAGTCTTTTGTCGAATTCATTTGTATTCTTGTTCAGTTCTTGCTCCTTTCCTGCTGAAGCCTTAACGTGTAATTGTTCATACAATGCACTGATAAAATATTGTTTGATGTTAATGCATCCTTGAGCGATTTCCATTGTGATTCAAAAATTTCTCTTATTTTTAATTTGTAGAAAATTGATGATCTTAACGGTCTTGCAGGCGGGTATATGAATACTCGTATGTGTGGCCTCCCAAGGTTATCGTCCGCCAAAGCATTGGCATTGATCTGTTTCGTGTTTATAACAGGCAAGTGAAAAAATTATCTTGATTTAACAAGGTCAAGTGGTTGATTTTAATTAAATCGCAGAACTTCAGCTATTTGGTGAATTGGGAAACTTTTAATCCGGTCGGGAGTTTGATGCATCTACATATGTGTCTATCAAAAGCAATCCAATAAGATCGTTGCTCATATATTTCCTGGTTTTTTCCTTCGCTAAAGGCAACAGTGACTGTTCTAAGTATGCACTATTGAGCCTCTGCTCAAAGTGAAATAGTGTCGTTAATTGGATAAAGCTGTTAAGATGGTGTCCTACGCCGTTCACTACGAAGTGAACAGAAGCCATCGGCAGGAAACGCTCCTGTCGGATTTTAGCAAGATGCACCTGCAAATGAGCAACGAACAGCCCCAAGTTTTATATGTTGCAATGGCAACGTGGTTGCCCAAGTGCAACATGGTTTCATATCAGCAGCAAATTAAGTATGTTCAAATTTCGCCTTAAAAATATTCAATGTTTAAATATAACTTTCGACCTACTTGGCCAAGTAAGTAACCGTCAAAAGTGTATATTCATTACCATGTGCATGGAGATCGTAAATTTTCGTAATGACCGCAAGCTTTACATTTACCTAATTTGGCCACGTTTGAGCCACAACCGTTACTGTGTTAACATATTTCCAGATTTCATTTGACTAATTTGCTGCCAAAAAATATTTATTCAGTTCGTGCGTGTTTTTGAACCAAATATGCTAATGTAATAGTTAGTATTTGTGGGAAATCCCGCCACATTGCGGGATTAAATGGAAACTCAACTCCCAGATGTTGAAGAGCAGAAATTTACTTCAGAATCTTTAGTTGTGTTTATTTCTACAGTTCTTTATTCATCTTGTCGAATTTTGTTAATATGCTTCATTGAAAATCGCGCTAGTGATTTGCAGCTATATCAAAGATTGGAAGCAAAGCTGTTTTCACTCAAATCCCAAGCGGTTGGTCTACTGTGAAAGTGAAGTGTTGAGAATATTCGTTTGTAATTAAGGGAATTGTAGCTACATATGTCTGGTTTTAAGTGTTACAATGGAAAGCTACTGCAAGTTGTAGTAGCTGTTAATGCTGCTGGCTGCTCCTGATGCGGAATCATTTATTGTTTTTAAATTAACTGAAGATTTAACGAAGCATGTTGTCACTTCCACCTTAGACCGAATCTACGGTAGGTAATATTAAGCTTCTTCGGTAACCTGATTGTTAAACTTTTTTGATATCTGCGTGTGTATTTGCAAGCTTGGATCCTCCAGTGAAGCCGTAGGTAAGACAATGCATATACATTGGTAGTGAACACTATTAAATCGTATTTTAGAGAGAAAGTAAAAGCTGAAGAATCTTAGGTTTTTTAACAAAATGTTCAGTTGCATTTCCTGTTTTTATTTGTATTGTATTTTGTTGTATGTCAACGCCCAGTTTTTCACGTTAGATCGATGTTCTGAACTGCGTTCTTGAAATCTGACCAAGTTCATTGATATTTTTCGATATAGGCAAAAAAGTTACTTATTAATAAAAAAATATATGGCTACATCAAAATATATGGCTACAAGTCCACATACAAAATCACATTTGCCACACTTTGGATTTTTCCAGTTTACCATGCTTCCTTAGTTGTAAGACTAGATACTAGACAATATTGTAGATAAGATGCAATAAAGTATTACTAGGCTAATGAGTGTTTTAATACCCCCATGGAATAATGTACAGATCACTTGCAGTTTATTCAATCAGGTTACCGTTGTCCTTAAATTAGCTAATGGAATAATTATTTTTTTATATCTGTGTTTTTAAGGCGAGATTTTTGGTCTCGGGCTGGAGCTGACGACTTGCGGACGTGCCCTGGAAATATTAGACTTTACCCAAACGTATTTTTTCTAGTTCTGCCGATGATCAGCTGGAAATCGTCGACAAAGTTGCTGCAACTGAAAACGTTACGAAAGCCACACCGTCAGCAACGCCACACGCCTCAGCTACGGATGAGAGTTTAGACAGTTCAAGTTCAGATGGTGATAGTGACTGTGTTATTTTAAAAGCCGAAACAAGCGAATCACTAAAAGATTCCATAATGATGGAAGTGATTTATGACAAGAAAGAAATTATTTCCACGCCGAAGAAAAATGTAACTCCAAAAAAGCTCCAGAAAATGTTGGATTCGGAAAAAAAGCGTCAGCAGAAGCAACACGAGAAAGAGGAGCGCGAGAAGCAAAAACAAGAGGAAAAGGCGAAACTATTAGCCGATAAGCAAAAACTCAAAGAACAAAAGGAAGCAGAAAAGCAAAAGCAGCTGGAGGAAAAGCAAAGGCAAATCGAACTCAAGCAAAAGGAAAAGGAACTGAAGGAAGAGCAAAAGCAGAAAGAGAAGGAGGAGAAGGAGATGAAGCGCAAAGAAAAGGAGGAACTAGAAGCGAGAAAACGAAAAGAAAAAGAAGAGGAGAGATTGAAAAAACTGCAGGAAATCGAAGAAAAAAACAAAGAAAAGCAGAAGGAGGAGGAGTTAAAACAAAAAAGTGCCGCACTGTTTAAGAATTTCTTCAAGAAAACTGATGAGGAGCGTGCCGAAGAACTCAACCAATCAAAAGCTGAAAAAATTAATTCTAATTTTATGCCGTTTGCAGTTAAGTCGGATATGAAGTTGCCTCCTCGCAGGCGTCAACCTTTAACGGAAGGACAATTGAAATTACTCGATTCAGCCATGCAAAGCCAGAACGGTGATCTGGGATTTTATTTAAAATGCCTTAAGAGTGGAGAATACCAACCGGGTGTTACTGGTCGAACCTGGCCGTATGAAGAGTCTGAAGGCGAAGTGACAATTGTGGAAGATGATAAAGTACTCGGGCAAACTATTTGTGAAGACACAGGAGTTGTCCAGAAAATGAAAGTGAAATTTTTATTTTTCCACGAAAATAGACGACCGGCATATTATGGAACGTGGCGTAAAACTAGCAAGCGTGTGACACCTCGCAGACCATTTGCGGAAGACACTGACTTCTTTAACTATGAGGAAGATTCAGATGATGACTGGGAAGATGAAGAACAAGGAGAATCTTTAGACGTATCTGGAGATGAGGAAGACAAAGAGAACGCAACTGAGGAAGATGACTACGAAGTGGATAATGAATTCTTTGTGCCTCATGGTCATTTGAGCGAGGACGAAATAGACGATGAGGAGAATGCTCCTTTATCGCCCGAGTCTTTGAAGCAAAAACTTAAGCTCTTGAAAGACGAATTTGAACTTGATATAAAGTCAAAAACCCACAAACTGAAGTCACGATCGATTGGCTGCATTTGGTTTAATGAAGGAAACGATAATATCGACGAAGCAATTTATCGCTACTTGCAACCTTTTGCAATGCTTGTTCAAGAACCAGTAGAAATTAAAGATCGTTTGAGTGTCTTTGGGACCAACACCGACAAGAAAACGCTGAAAGTCAAAGTACCGACAGAACTTCCCTGCGAACATGTCCCGTATTTCTTGAAAACAGTGCATGGCAATGTCAACAAAAAACGCACTGTAATTGAAGAGTTTTTGACTTTGATGGCTAATAAGGGACTGCCGGTGGACATTTCCAAAGCGGGACTTTTCCGCTTTCTGAAGCAAATTGCTTCGTATAGAAGACCTACTAGTGCGGGAGCTTCGAAAGCCAAATGTTGGTGTGTCAACGATGAAGCCATTGAAAAATACAATGTCCATTTGGATATGGTTCTTGAAGAAAGGTCGACTTGTTAATATTAAACTGGTAGTAGCAGTAGCATTGTTGGCTCCCCCCACAATACTGCTACTACTAATATTAAGCTAGGCTAAGTTTGAAAGTGCCCTTGGATTTCTCGCTTTTTGCCTTCCACTTTAAATGTTTATAATAAAGTTCATTATTTTTCAAGTGTGCAGTTTTATTTTTTGATTTTATTGGTTATGGTGCAAGTGTTTTTTGTTCCGAATGTTCTGTAGAGTGAGTATCATAGTTAGGAGTGATCAAACACCAAAAAATGTTGCTTAAAAGTTATTATAATTAAATAATAAAATTATAAAATATAATATATTTGCCTAAAAATGCAAGTTAAAATGTACCTGGACTTAGAACTGGAGCATGTCAAATTTTGTGAAATTTTACATTAGACAAGCCAAATTGCTTAAAACAATCAGAATTTATTCAGTCCCAAAGTTAGGGCAAATTTGGCTGTGCAACGTTCATTTTGTTCAGCAGTTTATATTAAGCCAAGTGCGTTTACTGTTTGTAAACAATTTACAAACGATGCAAGAAGCGACGGTTTTTACTGCATTATACTTATTTTTACTCATTTTATTCCATCTTGCACAATTCTAATTGCCTGCATCTATCGATATGTATTATGTAATTTTTCAGCAAACACAATTTTTTGTACGTTCAGAGCAAGTCGCTTCGTTGTTAGGAAAATGCAAATTTTTAATTGAATGTTGGTGGAAATAGAACAACTAGGACTCATTCATTTAACGATTATAAATAGAAGTTCAACTGCATCAACATATGGCGTTTGCAAGCATAATTAGTCAAGCAAACTGTTAACTACTTGGTTAATCAAGTTTTAATGAACACCCTTAAGAGCGACTGCTCACTTTTAAGACACTTTAATCAAGTGAGTGAATGAAGTCAAATATATTTGACAATGGTATTTTAAAGTATATTTTTGTGTATTTTCAAGGTAACTATCAATTTATGGCCTCCTCGAAATCCTGATTTAGAGCCAGCAGTCTCGCTAAATGTTTTTTTGGGCAGTTCACTTTTTTTGTGTATTATATCGAATTTATATTTGAGCGCTATACAGTGGGTGCATTTTGAACGGGCATTTGTAATACACCCGCGCATTTGCTTCATTTATAAATTAACGGCGGGTAAATGTTTATAAATAATTTTTTCCAATATATGGAGCAGTTTGCCAATTAAAAATTAACTTTTTGAAGTGAGTATTTTTGTAAGTTTTAAAGACATTTTGTCCGTCTTAGTTCAATCAGCTATTTGATGTGATATAACTTGTGTGTACCTCAATCAAGACCGTGGGTTGCATTCTTTAAATAACTCAACCCGCCTTCCATTGTCTTGAGTAAGGTGTTTAATAGTTCCGTAGCGACACGCAAACACCTACAACCGTTTGCAAATCCCCAAATATATTCTGCATTTGATCGTCGATGATAGATCAGCATGTGATAGTAGCCACTTTCAAATGGTACTAGTTGATAAAACCTGGTCGAAAAACCCTAGATTGTATTTCCTCTTGCAGCAGTCAAAGAAACAATCGTTCGCGACAGTTTGAACGCGGCTCGAGCGCGGAGCGTCGTTTCAAGCGCAGCCACCGCAGGTCGCCCACAAGCAAGAAGCGCAACAGGCACCGTCATGAGCGTCCGAGCAGCCGATCGCAAAGACGCCATCGGCGCAGCCATTCAGAAGATCAGGTCAGTATCGGTGTTTGATGCGCCCGTCGTTCGTTTGTGATGCGCAAACGAACGGCTGTGCTCTTTCTTGATATAAATTGTAGTGTGGGGTAAGAGACCAAATGCTTTAGAGTTCAGGTTTCAATGAGTCGCACTTTAGAGCGTATTTTGGCACCTGAGGTACTTGTTGATTGAGCCCTTTGTATAGTGGAATTTTTTTGAATTTTACGAACGTTAAATTTACATAAGTCGTATTTAGATGGAGCTGATTTGAACGAATAATGAATTGCATTTTAAGCGGTCGGGTACTGGTACAATGTCGATATTAGTCTGATTAGATCGAGAAAAACAATTTGCTTTTTGGTAGGCTTCAATCTACTTTTATATGTTAACAAAAATGGGCGCTCTAAAGCTTTTAAACTTATAGCGGATATTTCAGTGCAATGCGCCTGGACTAAAATGATTAAAGAATTTGAAAAATCCGGTCCAACTTAGACATTATCATGTAAAAACATCTGTAGCGTAATGCTGAGTAGTTTGTCTAGCTCATGCGGTCGAGTTTACAAACAGCGACTTTTTCGCAAAAATGAATTCCTTTGTTTCAAGTCACAGGTTGCCAATCAGCGGCTTTGTTACCCAATTTTAGATTTCGTCTCAGCAGTAGCGACGCGGCGCATTTGATTTGCGTATGGAGCGTTGTGATATCCGTCGGCTTCACTGAGAGGTCGTCTATTTTCGGTCTGATCGTCTGTGTTTTCCAAAATATTCCAGTGACGAACCACTAGTTCGACAAACACTTTCGATGCGGCCAAAACGCGACGCGGGCCCCTGCGATGCAGGCCAGGCTTTGCCCCGTTTGAATGGGTGATTTTCGACCCACTCTGAACATTCCCCTTGTCTAGAAGGTATTCGTCAGTTTTTGTGTGGGATCGCTTTTGCTGTCGTACAGGTGAATAAGGTTTTGATTTTTTTTTCGGCCTGACCGGTTACATGAGACTAGGTTAGGTTAAGTCAGGAAAACCATTAATATTGAGGCATGTGGTGCCGTGGTCTCTCTGAAGCTTGTTTTTGGTTTTCCAAAGGATGAACTGAGGGAAACCCCACTGTTGAAAGATCAAAAAAGGCCCAAGAATGTAAATAAACAGTCAAATATTAAAGTTGGCTATGACATTAAAGTTGGCAAACGTCAACAGCTTTGTGTTGTTGACAGTTCAAAAGCGTACTGTTCTTGCTCGGACTGTCAACGTCAGCAATAGTTTTCGTTTGTTTTGTTCAGCGGTGTTTTCTTCACTTCATCCGCTTTGGAGGTGAATTTCTGATTAATTAGTGTCTCGATCAGGAACTTTTTTCGTTGCCCACATGTCTGCTACTGTGGCCTCTCCTGCCTCGCTGGGACCCTGGTCGGCCTCCCAACGAAAAGCGGCCTCAAGAATTTTCGCTCAGGCCTTGTTCTCCGCCTTGCCTAAACCTCCCAGAAGTAAGCAGTTGTTTGAATTAAATTCAACTTAAAAACTCGCAAAAACAGTCTTATTTTTTGACTGTTCACACTTTTATTCTTGACTTCTGGTTTTGTCTCAATTTTTAATCACTTGTTGTCCCAGTTTATTTTTAATTTATTACTCCCAGTTGCGGATCTTCCGTACACATCTGGAAAGGAGGCATTAGTTGAGCAGAAAATCGAATCAGGCCAAGTGAAAAAACAGTACAATAACGTAAACTCGTATGAATCGGACCAAGACGACTATAGCGATGAAGATGAGAGTGGCTCGAGTTATTCGGAAAGCGATTATTATGATTCTTCGATCTATTCTGAAGAGGTGCGATTTCAATTTTTGCCCCTGTCATTTAATTCTGAATTTTTTACCACTAACCTTAGTGGGGAGGGTTTCAAAGCACCTACTATTAGTTCAAACCGCTTGTGTATACGTGTCAGTTTTTTTGATTATTGCAGATGCTTGTTTTGTCGCTTTAAAACACGCAAAGCCACTAGTTAATAGCCACTATAAGACGCGGGTTTTTAAATATATGTTGGCTCTACATCATTAGTGGCATTAATTATTGTTTTCATTCAATTAGCCGTTGGAACAATCAATTCTTCGATCCGCGACTGACCATGACTGTTTAATGTCTTTGAAACGTTTTCAAATAATTCCCATCAGAGTTCTCGTCTATCAGTCCTAATTGTGGGGACCGCGTTATTTGTCCCTTTTCTATTAATTATTAATGCCTTAGAAGAGATGCTTTTTTGTTTATTTGACTTCACCAATAATTACCTGTTTTCTATGGAATAACATGGACGTTTCCATGTTGCTATGGCTTCTACGTTGAATCACCCCGAACAACTCGAGGGTCTAGCTAAAGCCAGTAATTCATTATACTCACCTTGACCTAACATTCCAATAATCAAAGCCACCTTTAATATACATGGAAAAGCAGTAATGACTGGCTTCTTGCCAGTCTTCATCAACGCGTTGTGCTTGTTTAAATTCAACTTTGGACCTTTCGTGATTGGAACGTCATTTCGCATGCTAATAACCGGCCTGAATTGTATTTATGTAAATGTATAAGACGACATTTTGAATACGTGTACATACACGTGCAGTGTTTGGTGGATGGACGAAAAAGGCCCTATGAACAGATGATAACCTGTATGCAATTCTACCTACCTACATAGCTTAGTTAGGTTGTATGGGTATTAGTCAGTGAGTTATTTTTACGTCGTTTTTTGAAAATCAGTTCTCCTGGTGTCTTGGCATTGTTACAACTGTCGGTAATATCCTGTTTTTAATGTCTTTTCTGTTCATAATTTACGAATGTTTGGATCTCAGAATCTCTCACATGGGTTTCAATACTGTGGGATTTGTTACTAGGCTGTGTCCTATCTAATCACATTAAACAGTTTCCTTCTTCAATTTTAATATTTGCGTATAGGTTGGATTATTAATTTTTCAATACAGGCAAATTTTTGCAACTTCCAGCTAAATTGGTCGTGTGATTATCATTATTTTTGAAATTCCGACAAAATCGTAAACGTGAAATAAAGCGCCTGCAAGAATCCTCATTGCGATGGCGATGCGAAGCTGCAAGCTCTTATATGATTTTAGCTTGTAAATGACATACCCAAAATTATGGACTTTGAAAAGTAGATCTTAACTATGGTGTTTAAAAGGCAGAAGTTTGGATATATTTGAATCCGCTTCGGGGAATAGTAAAACCTCTAAGATCCAGGCAATCAGAACCAATAACGCCAGTTGCAAACTTTCTCTGGAATAGACCGAATCAGCATTAGGACACTTTTAAAATCATACAAATTTCACACCTGCAAAATTAAATTTGTCCAAGAAATTAAGCGACAACGATGAAAATGTTTTGGAGAGAAAAATTGGAGATATTAATTCAAGTCTGGACGTTTGGGTGGAATTGTATTGTCGGATCATATTTTATTGCCGGTAGTCTGATGGCCAGGCTTATTTTCATTTGCTGGAAGATTTCGCTTATTCTCGATTAGTTGATGTTAAAGAAAATAGTCCAGATTATTTAAAAAATGTTTTGATATTCCAACAATGTGGTGCACCATCGCAATGGGCTTTAGAATTTGGCAATTTCTTAATGAAAATTTCCCCGGTCATTAAGTTGGGTTTTTTTGAAAGACCTGCAAGGTTTCCAGATTTGACTCCGTTAGGTTTTTCTTATGGGGTAAGTCCGAGTCGACAGTATTGTCCACTCCTCCGCCAAATAATCCCCAAAACCCTCTAGAAGGTAAGACAAAGATTCAATTTCTTACACTCTAAGGATTTAACGGATAGCATTTTGTATGTTTGTTTTGGGTACTAACTCTTGTATCATTCGAGAAAACAGCTTTGTTTCGTTTTAGTCGGCGCACTCTGTATTTAGAAATTACATGTATTTTTTTTTACTAGTTTGACACCGGTTTTAGGAGAAATTGCAGATAAAACCACGAAAAAGGAAAAAAAATCAAAAATTACTATGGATCAGGTTTTGGTATTATTTTGATTATTTGCTGAACTAGGGCGCTTAACATCGAATCCTTCAATTGGAGCAACACTTTTCCGATTCTATTGTGAAGTTTCATTTGGCTTTCTTTCAAACTTCTTTTTCTACTTTATTACAATTATTTAACTGCTTCTTTGGGCATCCTGCAACTTGTAAAAACTACTGTGGTTCTTCTCATTTTGAGATTTAATTTTTTTATGTTTGCCAGTGGAGATGGACGTATTAATGATGTGCAACTGTTTGGAGTTTATCAAACTATTGAGTTTTCCAAAACTTCTAGGAATTTCTTGTCTAGCTTCCATTCTATTCTGTTCGATTGTATAAAAGTGTGGCGACCCTGTGCGTTGAAATAGGAAAATATGGCCACATGCACAAACCAGAAGACGTTGAATATAATTAGCGGCACGCCAAGAAGCGCTATTCAGGCCCTCGACAATCGTTGAACTGAAATTACTTTCCGCGATCCCCTGTGTGCACTTGTTTATCCTGGTGATGTCCAGTAGTAAGTAGAAGCCGCTTTATCGCTGTCCGAGTTTGATTTGGTTCTGTTTCGGGTGATTTGCTTTTCTTCATTAATCTTGTGCAGTTTGCCCTCGTGTTGTGTAAGATATTATTTATAAATATCGGCTGCGCTTTGTTGATGTTCTACAGAAGCAGAAGGAAAGTGTACTGCGCTGCAATGCGCTTCACTCTACCAGGACATAATTTATGTGGCACTTTAATTGGAACACACGACGAATCAGATATTGAAATTATTTTTAACCGGCTGTGAAGAGGCTCTGATTGCAATTGAGATTGATTGTCGTCAAGAGTGGCATCCAAATGCATAGCAAAGGGAAGGGTTCACGAAAGTCTCGGTACCTTAAGACCTTCAAGCAGTGCCTTCTGGAAGTGTTCTTCAAGGTTAGTGTCCTGAGTGTGGCGGCTGTGTTTACTTGGCCAGTATTCGAAAGCATCGTGCGTCATTTTTATTTGCGATGATTCCCAAAAAAATCTCCTATTGCTACTGTTTGTCACACGCGTTATTTTCGACCCTTCTCCCCTTCGGTTCCCGCTCACCTAAATTTACGTAATTATAACTCGGCGCTCAGTCGAAGGCGAGCGTCGCGACGGTACGCGTTAGCTGACCGTGTCATGGTATTTTTAGAATTGACGAGCGAAACGGCTTCAAAATTACCACTCTGACTGAGCACAAAGGGAATGCGAAACACTGTGACCGATGTACACCTCGGGTTTGTCTTATAGCAGGTACCGCCCCGCCTATTACGACGAAGGGGAGCGGTACTCGACCCATTCCCATAGCTCAAGAGCGGTACCGGATTATTCCTGGCTGGGTTCTAGCAGTTATCGGCCCACGACTGGGATTAACCGACCAGCAGCAGCGCGAAGACTGGCAGACGATAGCCCGTCTATGGCCAGTAGCAAGAATGGATCGAACTCAGAAGCGGGTACTCGTCGAGCGCGATACACACGGTCCTCCACGCATAGTGTGGCTCAGCTGTTGAGCGACTCCTGTTCAAGTTTGCTTCAAAAGATCACTACTAGAGTGCGAGGGCCGTCCGCCACGGTTGAGCGGCAACTGCAAAACAGCACCAACGGCCTCAGCAGTGGGAGTGGGACAGCGGGAGGTTCCCGTTTAAGCATCCACCACCCCAATCCATTAACCACCAGCAAGAGTAGCACGGTGGTGCCGAACTTCCAAGGTGCTGCCAGCAAGAATCGCAGTGATGACAAGTACAGTTCGGTTCTGGATCGCATATATGGCAGGAGGAGGGAGAGCGAGCGAAAGCCTGAACCGTCCATAGGAAGAGGACTAGCCAAGAGCAGTACCACTGCCAATGTGTTGCAACTTAGTGAGAAGGCCTATCCATATGTAAACAGCAACAGTAACAATGTGGTGCAACGTGAGAAAACTCCATTTCGGAGCAGCGACCAGAAGAAAAATGCTGTTTACCCGGAACCGTCCTACTCGTATCTGGATAGAGATTCGATCTACCGGGTGCGACACCGATCCAACCATTCCGAACTCCGGCCGAGGCGGTCGTCGAAACCGCACAGGGTTGGAAAGAGCGAGCACAACGACCGAAAGACATCCATAACGACCAATCTGAAGTTAACCGCTGTGGAAATACCGATGGCAAACGAGTGTATCGTTCTCGAAGACCCCGAGACGAAGAAGGGCACGGCCGTGTCGCCTTCGGAGGACGACGATGTCACCCCAACCCCGTCCGTCCCAGATCCAGTAGCCGAACGCGAGACCAAACGTAAAGAGATCCAGAGTTTGATCATGAAGTACTCGGCCCTAGATGAGGCCTATAATAAAACAAGTGCAGTGGCCGCCGCCCCAGAGCCTCCCAGTGTGGCGGCGGCCATCGCACAGAAATACTACCCTGAGACCACGAAGTTGGCGGCTGTAAGTACGACGGGACGGCCATTTGAGTGCCTCAAAACCTCTCAAGTAAACGTATGATTGAGCGTGGCCACCACACTACCTCACTAACCATATCCGAGTGCCGCTTGCTGACAGGAAGATATTTAACCGTGTCATTCGCTAATCGTGTTTGTGTAAGTCACTTTTTGTTCTCGAGGTTCTTTAATGCCCACTTGCATCAAATATTTAAGGAATACTTAAGGTTATGCCTAACATTAAGTTCCAGCCTAACTGCAAAAATGGGTTGCACCAACCCATGACACGATCTTAAGTTCGTTTTTGAAAATCTTAAATTTAAGTACTCGCGGCCATTTGCACCAGTGAACATAAGGCTCACCTTAACATAAGAGTGACAGTTAAATGACATAATTCGTTTGCACCACTGTCACCTAGCGTTAAGGCGAACCGTAACAGGCAAATAATTTAAGGGGAAGATGAAGTGCCGCTTAAGTGGAACCTAACGTCAGATTTGAAGACTAACCTCAAACAGAACTGATATTGCATAATTTTGCAGTTGCAGTATTTTGTTGGAAACAAGCCCATTTGTCATTATCAACCGATAATAATTAGTATATTCCGTGAACTAAACCATTTTATGATGAATGTGTTAAGTAATGATCTGTTATTTGATAATGATGACAGCGACCATGTGCGAGTTCCTAGACTAGTTTACGAGAAAACACATTATTTGATAGTTTTGATGATGTTCTGTTTTTTCAACGTGTTCCGTGTCAAAGTACMCCGCACTTTTCATATCGAACCTCATAGAAGAGGAAGGTCTATTCTATCTATTTATATGTACTCTGGTATATTTAAACGATGTTAATTTGTTTATAGTCGATGGAGGATATAACATAAGGCCGTATTTATTAACTCCGTTACAACAGCCTGCAAATCGCGCAGAACAATTATTCAACGAGTCGCATATACGGATAAGAAATATAGTTGAGCGGATATTTGATATCTGGAAAAGAGGATTCGAAGTCCTTGCATTCGGTTCTCGTCTAAAAATAGATACGGTTTTAATAATAAAATAATTGAGTAGAGAGCAAAATGAGGATCAGCCACCTGATCGTGAAGATGTTGAACGCTTCATACATCTTATGCAAGAAGATGAAGTACCTAACATAAGCCACATATATAACAGAAACAATATATTGTTGCAAGGGAATCAAACTAGGAGGGACTTAACTGATCCTATTCATTTTCATTGATAAATAGCGATTAATTGAATTGAAAGTAATGCTTTTGATAAAGGACTAATATTATTAAATTAAAGTTCATTATTAAATTGAAATAACTTATAATGCATTACTAAAACAAATGGGAAATAGCATTATTTGCTTAAGTGTTTTTTAAGTATTCCAATTTTAACTTTTCCTACTGAAACTCGAACATGATTTGGTCCTGCTTTCTTTTGGCTAAAATGTTTTGAAGCTCCTCTTCATAACATAGCATTGTTCGCTTCCAACTGGGAGTCTAAGGTTTTTCCTTATAAGAAAAATGTAGTCCGTTTTTTATTCTCAAATGACTCCATCTTTATAATATAATATATTATGAATTAATTATATTTGAGACGTAAACAGGAACGGCAACCTCGAATTCAGTTATAAGATAAAGGTTATTTTGGAAAGAAAAGGCGGGAGCAAAAGCCAGTTTGTCACTTTTAGCAATGTTGTCAGGTAAAACTTCATCTTAGCTAAGTATCACTTAATTGGCAGCTGTGCAAAGCTGTCTGTAGTTAGGGTTAACCTTAATCCAAAGTTATCCCTAGCTAAGAATAAGTTTTAAGGAATACTGGTGCAAATGGCCGTCGTTCTCGAGTACTTAAGCATGACTTAGCCTTCTTCCAACCTCACTTCAGTCGCTAGTTAGTCAAATATACAGCAAACGTATATAAATGTGTAATAATAATGTCCTATTTTCAAAAAATAAGTACCTACGTACATAATGAATTTTGAATTTCAACGTTTTACGAACGCCCTTTTTGACTAATTGAGAAATTGAGAGATGGCGGAGTTTCATTTGGCTGTTTTTTTTTTAATCACCAGCAAAAGGAGCAAGCGATTTATCCACGTCATCCAAGGTTTTATTATTTACAATAGATAATAATATTTTATCTGCATTGCCCCTTGGAACCGAAGGCACAACTCGTCCGCCACCAGTTTTATAAAGTTTTTTTGTTCTGATTGGAAATGTGCTTCCGCGGAATTGTTGTTTAAAAATTAATTATTAATTGTTTTAACAAATAGCATTAAATTCGCCCGTTATTTTCTGGCATGTTGGCGGCTTTTCTTGGGAAGACGCTTTCTAATGAAACGCGACGAGCTCTAAAAGACTATCTCTTTCAGGAGCCCTGAAATTAGTAGACCATTTTTGTTTTGCAGCCATTAGTAAAACAAAATTTTAAAACGATCTCGAATTTTGGTTAGAAACAACACAGACATACAGAACAGAACAAAAAATACAGAGTTGCCGGTTATTGCCTGAAGCTTAGCTAAGAACACGTGAAAAACGGGTGGACTCATTGAAGCTTAAGTCGGACTTAGATTTTAAGGTATACTTAGGTAAGGACGTGCTTAGAAGAAGTTTAGTGCAAGTTGGCATAAGTGCCTTTCATGGTCAATTGGACAGTTTGGATTAGAGGTGTTGACTGACGTTACTTTAGAGGAGTGTTGGGAAAACAGGAAATGTTTGGTACTCCCGTACTCGTTGCCCTCGCTACTCATCCGGGTCCGAAGTAACAATTACTTAACCGAACTATAAAACGATTATTCGAGTAGGTACTCGTTCGGAAAGAGTCAAGTCGCCCATCCTAACCTCCGGATCTGAATACATTACTACTCGTACTCACTCAGATCAGACTAATTAAGGCCGGGTCACATCTATCCGATCCGACTCCGATCATACAATCGGACGAAGATCTGAGAGCAAAATCACGTAGTTCACATCTTTCCGCTACCTGCCCGATCCGTCTCCGTTTTTGTATCCGATCATGTTCCGATTTTGCTGGCTATTCGATGGGTATTTGCGATCTGATTGTCGGAAGGAAAAACGGTCCGCATTTTAGGTTGCGTCAGTGATACATTTGGTTTTTAATGGACTATATCTATAGTAAGCTGTAGATATTTAAATATTTTGATTGGGCTTACATAATTTTACTGATAGAAAACAAACTCAATTATTAATAATGCACATGATTCGTCGCAAGTATTAATTTATATTACTGTTTACACAGCAACTGTACAGTAAGGACTCTGGCAAGGAATATCGGAAAAATAGCTACTAAAGTGTACATTGTCAACTGTTCATGGAAATTTATTTACTACTTCGGGTTTTAATGCCAACCCCTCATTTTGTAGACATTTTTATTCTCTACGAATCATCTCGTTGGGCATTCCGATTACTCCATTATTATATAATATTATAAACAAAAAGACAAAAATCGCATCGCATTGAATTTTTGGCAATAAATTGTTAATAACTAACATATGGACCGGAAATGCGAGTGGAAAACAAATCCCTATTAATCTGATTATTATCTTTTATATAATCGCACAATTAGTTTGCTACTAGTCTTTTTGTCACGTTAAAGCATTT